AATGATAATTGTTTCCCAGAGAGCATGTGCTTTATCTTATCTAGAGACACAATTCTGACTTGGGGCAATCAATTCTGAAGATAAAGTTTGGTTACTTTACCATCTAACTTACTTCCTTTTAAAAAAATCATCATTTTAAATTTTGGAAAATATAATTATAATGTTTTAAAACTCTTTAAAATTTATAAAAATATTTAACTATATTAATAAATGGCACTTTGATGTTTTAAAAATGTGCATAGTTACATGAACTAAGAAGTTCTTCAAATTTATTTTCTCTACTTCAAATAAGACTATTTTAAGCTCTTGTAATAATGCAATTTTGGAAATTCTCAATCTTAAAGGAAAAAGGGGGAGACCAAAAGTACTTTCTAGACTACTGGCATTTTTCCAAGGAGTGGGTTAAGAGCATTGCATTAATTTCCTCTTTCGCTTTAGGTGCTATTTCTCTAAGTTAGCAAATATGTAATGGGGATATAAAATTCAAGTAACTTGACCAACTTACTGTGATGCTAAGTAACATCCTAGGATTTGACTATGAAGTATCCCAAGTCATTATGGAAAACACTTAGTATTTTGAAAAAAGAAAATAAATATGAATTACCTCCCTATTTTAATTTAACTTTAAAATGACTAACTTTAATAGTATCTTTATTATATTCACAAAACTGCCTTGTTAATGTCAATTGAACTTTTAAAACTGACAATCACCACGAGGTACAGTACATTTTGAGTTAAGGTGTTCTGTTTCCTCTGTGTGTGTGTGTGTGTGTGTTGGAGGGAGGTGGCTACCATTAATGCAGAAGCGTTTGATTGACAAAAGATTTGAAATTCAATGTCTACCTTTTTCAAACATCATGTCATGTGCTAAAATGCTCTAGGAGTGTTGAAAAAAAGAATTCCTAGTATGCTCTTTATATTTAATCTAAAGACAGCCTTTCTATTTTATTTTTATATATCTGAAATTAAATGTACAATTAATTAACAGCAATGTTTTCAGCTGGTATATTTTCTGATTAAAATTTTTAATAAGTCAAAATATGTAAGGATTGTATGAAAAGATGCTCATAAGTTAAAATAGATCCATGTCAACTGCTTAAAAATTTCTTAATAGTCTTTGTTATGTTTATGACAGAAACCCATTATGAATATGTTTTATGCAGATACAGGGATGTCATTATTGACAATTACAAATTTCATGTTTCATGTTAATTATGGTCAAAAGAGCAGGTATTCATTCGTCATTGTCAACAACAAAAATACATGTAAATAAGACTTAACTTGGATTTTGTAAACCAGCATATCCCTATGTTTTCCCGGGCATCAAGTGTGTGTTTAGGCATTCAGTTTTCCAGAGATGACCAGCAAGATGATTCAACATATTTTTATGAAATAAGCATAGGCATAACTTAACACAGGTACTACCTAAGATAACAGGAAGTCATTCATTATTGACAATGCAACAGCTACTGGAAAGATTCCCCAAATGGCTTTTAAGACCATGATCAATAAAAGCTTAGCAATGTCAAGGAAAAACAGCACACCTCCTCTTGTGTGATCCCCCAATCTATTCTGAAGACCCTGGAAAGATCCATGATAGGATTGTACATGCCTAAGGCAAGGAATGTAGTTCCTTTTTGTAACAACTAGTACAGCTTCTTCTGTTACCGTCTTACAGAAATTAAATAGATTCTAAAGAGACACTGCAACCATGAATATACTGATCTATTTTTAATGCAGCTGATCTATATGATTTGAGTAGGATAGAGATTTGAGTTGCACAAGTAAACAACCATCACCCCTGCCTTCTCTTAAATTTGGGTCTCTGACCTCTTTGTTCAGTTATATTACTCAGCAACTTTCCTTAAAATGCCTTGCTTAGAGTTAAAGGTTTTCATGGACATTAAAATAGTTTCTTCACTTGATAACCTTAGAGCACTTTCCTGCTCAACTATAATCGACATTAAGGAGGATAATGGAATACATTTTAACATGAATCTGGCCAGTAATATTATGACAATGATCTTTTACATTTCATTGTCATTTCCTTTAGTTTATTCTTTCGTAGACATCTGAACTTTTGAAAATGCCACTTTTGAATGGGTATTCCCCCTTGTTAGACATTAAGGAAGCATAGCAAAGTACTTACCTGAACAAAAATTATTTTATTTATTTTTTCATTTTTAACCAAAATGGAAAAGGTTTACTAATTTGGCTATTTTAAAACTAGCAGCTTCTGTTCAGCAGAAGAAATATAAAAAGTGAAAAATTAAGTCACAAAAGATATTTTTAAGTGGTTCTTGTATATTCTTCATTTTCTGACTGTTAGAATACATAAACAACTTCTCAATGTCAATGAAAAAAGGGCAAATAACCCAATAGTGGTCAAAATATTTGGCAGGTACATCTCAAAAGATGTAAACATATGAAAGTGGTGTAATTACTCAGGTAAATGAAAATTGAATTATAAAGATACTTTTACATACCCACCAGAATGGCAAAGTTAGGAATACTGATGATATCAATTATTAGCAATAAGGTAACAATAAATGATTCATAAGACTTACAATTCATCATATTGATTAATGAGAATTTAGCATAAAACAATATATAGACCATACTAAACCAATAATATATAGCACAATAAACAAAAGAACCACATAAGTAATTTTTCTGGACATGGTAATTCATAGATAGTTAACATAATAGGACACAAGGTCTTATTGGCAGCTCAACATTAGAAAATGACAGTGAAAATTAAAATACACATTTCAGTATAACAGAAACCAGGAAAATCAAAGTACTGCTCTTAACCATATGCACTCACTAGTCTATTTGGGCACAAAAGTTCTGCTTTATTATAATCAATCTTCACTGCTGGTAATTGGAAACATGTTGAAATAGAGTGACACCAAGTATGGGCACAGAATAAAAAGGACATTATTAAAATGTGTTTTATAGTAACTACTATCCCAGCACTTTTATATATCACCATATCCATAGCAACTGATTCTTTAGTTTTCAATGCTTGTTTTTTATTCCAGTCATTTAGAACAAAATTTCAACTAAATTCATTAGTTCTGAGGCAGTTTAGTTGCATAGTAATAGGACTTTTAAACATAAATTCTAAAAAAAAATCCTACTTTGAAGAGAATAATGAGCATTTTGCTTTATAATCCCTCTGAGCACTATCTATAGACAATTGCCTAAGAGATTTGCATATTTTTTTTAAGATTTATTTATTTATTTATACAAGCACTGGGTACAGTCAGAAGTCGGGAGGGTGAGAGAATTCACCAGAGCCAGAGCGGGGAGCAGAGCGGGCAGAAGGACCGAAGTACACTGCTGAGGGGAGCAGCGGGCGGCAGGAGAAGTCTGCGCGCCATGTGGGACCCTCCTCCAGTGGCGGGGGAGCAGCTTGGGATCGAACCGATGCTGCAGAGGTTGCGGGCAGCTTCGTAGCCCAGTGCTCAACCGCTGGGCCACCAGGGGAGGTCTGAGATTTGCATATTTTAAATAATCTTTATATTAGGACATATATCTGTAGATCCCCCTGATACTTCACTCATATTGTAACAGGGTGGTCCCCCCTTTCCTTGGGACCACCCTGTTACAATATTATTGCATGTAAAACATATTAACATGAGAGCATACATTTCATCCAATAAATCATTTTGCTTAAAGAAAAAACCAAAGAAATGTAAGAGCAAGAAAATTTCCTAAAGCAGTATATAAATAGCAGCCTATTTATGCTTCAGATAATTTTTGTTTAATAAAGTACTTAATAAAGATGCACAATCAAAAGCAATTTTTATTTGAATATTATGTTATTTATATATTTGCTTCACTAAAGCACAGGCTACAGCATTACATGACTCAATATCCTTAGTCGCTTGTTCCATCCACCCAAAGTCATCTATACACACTCATGTGCTGATGAAAACATTCATACAGACACACAGACACACACATATACACACACACAGAAATTTGGAAAGCAAGTCCAATATATACATGGAAACTTAAAACAAAATCCATATAGGATATTTATATCTTAATAATATTTTATTAAATGCATGCAGTTTTTTATTTATAAATAAACCTTTCACTGTGTATAGGGACAAATAATAGGCTAAAACCTTCTGTGTGCATGTGTGCGCATGCATGATGTTTACATGAGTGGATGTATATATATATGCATATGATGCTAAACATGGTAATTGGGATATATTCTTGTTTTGTACCTCCCAGACAATGCAAATTTAAAGGAGAATATATTTCTTTCATACACCAAGTATTCATGGTTATATTAAAACAGAATGAAATGAGCAATACTAACACCAAATAATGAATCATTGCAAGATTTTCTATAGCTGAAATGACAATTAAATCATAATATATAAATGTAGCAAACCAACGTGTACATAAAAAATTCACACAATTTTGTTAAATGTATTTCAATTAAAAAAAAAAACTTCAACAATTTTGAAATCTCCTACCACATCAAAAATGTATATGTAAATACATATTTACCTATAAACATTCTACCTATTAATGTAAATACATATACATTTTTGCCTCAGGATTTTGATAACTTGGTTAATGAATATTTTTATCTTAAATATTTAATAATATCCTGGAACTAAAAGAAGCTGCATATTTCATACTCACTTAAGGTCACCTTAGAGAACTCTCCAATTTCTATTCTTTATTTCTCTTTTAATTCACTTAATTACACACTATTATTCTATTATTATAATGCTTAAATTATATGTATGTTCTTCATTTATATATCTGCATATTTATATCTTGTCCTAATTATGCGAAATAGGGGGCTAAGCATTATGTCTGAGATCTACTCTTGCCCAGCTGACTTACCTGCTGGAACATAGCAGAAAAGAAAGCAGGCAGGTAACCTGGTCAAATTCTCTGGTAAATATGGGGCTGAATATGCTCTCAGCAGACAAGCAAATGAGGTAGGGACATGTACATGCACTGACCTGTTTTAGGATCTACCGAGAAGTAGGGCTGTCCCTGCAGAATACTGTACACCACCCGAGCACTGTTCCCATAGGTGGGGTCATCCGCATCAGTAGCTGTTACCTGTAGAACAGACGTACCTGTGAATTCAGGAAAGCAAATTTTAGTGTGTGATAGCATGTACATATGATTACTTTGTATACAGAAAAATGTTGTGCTGAAATATCTCTGGACACCTATGGTACAGAGTCCCACTAAAGTTAATTCTTAGAATTGCATATAAAGCATATTTCTTGCTTGTCCTTGCTATAAAATGTATTCATTCGTGTACAAAATGGAATATAGAGTCGCAGATATTTTAATATGTCTCTTGCTGTACAGATAACATTGTGAATGGTCTTTTGTGACTCTCACATAATCCAGGTTGGCTTGAACCTATGCTCACGATTCAAACTGGTATAAACTGTGGGGTAAAGTCAAAGATATGGTGACTCTACCATGCTGTACACTGCATGCTTTGTGACCACTCAGCTGGAGGTGGGAGGGTTTGTGATTAGGTGGGAAGGGAAAGTGAGTTGACATTAAATTATCAATGTCACCTAAATAATCCACTCAAGTCATTTGCAATCATCCATGCCCTTTTTATTTCTTACATGGACTACTAATGAGTTTCCCAACTGGCCTCCAAGGTTCAGATGTCATTCCTTTAGTCTTTTTTACATAGTACCTACATAATTATCATTTTACAAGGGGTATCATACTATGCCTAGCATGAGGCATTTTTAAGGTTAAAATGTATATTAAATTATCAATTTTAAAAGACTATTTTGAGGTACAAAACACAGGTCTCTCATGCTGGCTTCCTTATGTTTATGTGTTTTAGAGACCATTTGCATAATTAGATATATCTATATCATATTTCAGTTATTCTAAAATTAAAACTGATTTGATTGTAACATTACAGCCATCTATTATACAACGTCATTGCAGAAGGAGTGAGAGCTCTCAATTATTCGTGAAATCTACTTGATGAATCATCTAATAGTACATACTTGATATTTTATTCTGCTCAACTAGAAAAATTCTACCTATTAATTCAATTATATATCAACAAAAATATCTCCAGGACCAAATGAGTCTAGATGAAATTCTGCATTCATTTTGGCGCTACAGTAAAAACATGGGCGATTTTAAGTTTCAAATTTTTAGTAATTACTTCAATGACTTAGTTCTGGCATACGCATTATGAATTTATTCAACTATACTTTTTCCTTCCCTACTGAAATTCAATATACAACTTTAAGGAAACTGAATATGTGCCTTCAAGGGATCCTCTTCCACTAATAAGTCAAATCATTCTTTCTATAGAATACGAAGTACTTTTTTCTGTGTGTCATAACACCAGCTCCATACTCAATATTCATCTCCCCAAATTGTTCAGAGACTATCATTAGGTAGATATTGACAAATAGAAGAAAGTATTTTTGTTGATACCTATATGACAAGCATGGAGGCAGGCTCCCAGCCCATGTGAACCTTCACACTCACACTCATGCACTCACACTCACACTCTCATTCTCCGTCTCCTGCAATGACGTTGCTCCTTTATCCCTCACCTTCTGGGTTCAGGTGTGCACACCTCCACATGCACACACCTATGCTCCCTGGGCCCAGCTGTCCACAATCATGAGCAGTGTGTAAGATCACAGGACCGGTCATAGAGGCCAGTGGCAAAGCCTGACAAATCATTTGCCCTTCAATACTTCATTGAAATAAATTAAAATCTGTACTAAGTAGCCAGATCAGGTCTCCCAGGCAGGCCCCCTCTCTCCACCCTCTCTCTCTCTCTGGCTTCACTTCTCTTTCCCAGTCTCTGGCTTTTCAGTCCAGGTGTCCTCATTTATAGACGTGCACACCCCACGCTCTCTGGCTGCTCGGCGTCTGTACCCATGCCCCACGCTCATGCTCCTGAGCACTTTCTTACAATAACAGGTGTCACTTGTGGGCAACAAAACCTGGTAGGCAAGCAAGACGCAGGCCGTGGCCATGGCGGTTGGCGGCAGGTGAGAAAGAGCCTGCGTGTCTCCATTTTCCTTACAGCCCTTGATCTAGTAGAGGTGATGTTCTTACAAATATGGGACATGTGGGGACAAACAGCCGCACACATACAGTGAATTTTATGTGAAGATGAAGGCACAGAGCAGGAGGCCACTTACAAGTTAAGGAAAGTCAACGATTACCATAAAGCATGAGAAGCTGGGGAGGAGGCTTGGAACAGACCCTACTCCAATGGCTGCAGAGGGAGCATGGCCTGCTAACACCGTGACCTCAGACATGTAGCTTAAGGAAAAGTGAGATAATAAAGGTTACCATTTAAGCTACTCAGGGTATGGGTACCCAGCTGTGGTGGGGAGAAATGACATTTATTTCCAGAATTTGCAGGTGTTCTTTAACTGACTCTGAACAAATCTGTAGCTAAAAATCAAGGAAAAAATCATGGATAATTTCCTATACCACTTGATAAAAGATGCATCCTAAGTGAAATAACACCAAACATGAATGTCCTAAGTAGATAAAATTAAACTAGGAAGAAATTAAAAGTATTTTTTAATTAAGCAAGTCTAGCTAGTGTTTTCAAAGAAATTAATAAGTTATAAAGGTCATTTTAATGGATTTTTATTTTTATTATGGGTTACTATATGTCTAGATCATCAAGAATGTTGCCAATTAATATTATCTCCATAAAAATGATACAAGTTAAAAAAAAAACAAAAACTTAAGGTAAAAAAAGCATTGGGGTTTATATAACTCTGAGAAAAGTAAGCTATTATACATTAACCCATGCAATCCCTTTATTCATGCTATAGGTCTAACTGCATATATACAGAACTGTGCCTGGTTTCCAAATGAAAATATATAAAATGATGCCTAAAAGGTCATTATTTTACTAGAATATTAGATGGGGTAATTTTCTCAGGGAATTATTAAGTCGTTGGGACTGTAGATATTAAACCAATAGCCTCTTTCTTACATGATTAACTTCTAATCAAAGAAAACTTTAAAAAGTGCTATTTAAGCTTTCTTAATTTTTATAATTGTGTCCATTAAAAACAATAACCATGGAAACATTGTATTTTAAAAGTACCATTGCCTACTAAATAGGCAATATTTTCACATTAAACGTGCCCTATAACTCACACTGAGCTGATCCCATGTTGGGGATTAGTGCCTCTCAGTCGATATTTCATACAAATCTGAAAAAGATTTCAGTACATTAAAAAGCTTTCAAGCTATCTTTTCTGCAATAAAACTTAAGTTTTCTTTCCTTTGGGGATTGCCCTGAGTCATTCTTTACATTTGGTTTCTTTTTTGCTTTATAAATAGCATGGATTTTGTGAAGTTACACAGCAATGAGAAGCAGGAGGAGTGGACTTTCTCGAAAGTCTCAAAAGACCAATTTGAAATATTTAATAAGGCAATTTAATACCAAGCAAATATTCTCTGAGATTGCAAATCGTTATGCATGACTTGTCAGGGTTCACAGCTCTGTTAAAATCTCAAGTGAATCAGTGTTGAGCAAGAACTTCGAGTAAAAATAAGCTGAAGATTTACGAAGGTTGAGAGTAACTTTCTGAAGGAATATCTAGGGCTTATTTCTCAGGAGATTTTCCCAGGGACTGAAAAAGCAAGAGTCGTCAAGTCTCTACAACTTAATTCATACAGGAGGACTGTAACTTCACCAACAGAGCAAAAATTTGGGATCCCGGCCTTTGTATAATTTTATTAATAATTTCATCCTCACACAAGTCATTGGAATAAAAAAAAATACTTCTGCAAGAGTACTCATGGGATATTGGTGATCTAAACAAAAATTGTTAACATCACTCTACACTTTAAATCATGGCTATTGTGAATTCTATGTACTTTCAGTTAGAACTTTTATATAGAACTACCTACTGGTAAATTTCACATTACTCAGATAAATTTCATATTAAATCTCTTAAATGGAAAAAGTAATTAAGCTAATAAATATATTTTGTGTCAGTAACGCTAGAAGCCCTCTCCTCTATGTCATTTAATTTCATAATGCAATCTATCTATTGAGAAAATTACATCTAATGTCATTTTACAAATAGGTGGTACTGAAATACAAAAATGTATGTATTTGGCATTTTCCCCATATATTCTATTAGCTTACCTAGTTATGATTGGTTCAATCTCAATTAATATTTAACAATATTTTCTGTCTTTTTATGTGAGTTTCCTTGATGTGATGTACTAATAGACCAGATATATGGACTTGGGAGGGGGGCAGGTGGCATATATTTCACCACCACCACCCCGATAGCGAAGGGCTAAGTCAGTCAAGTATGTTGTCAGACACCATCTGCTGTGGAATTTCCATGTCTCTCCTGTCTTATTTTTCCACCTCAGTTCTAATCACCTACCAAAACTCATCTACTTCAGCCATATAAAAGAATATTCTTTAACATGGAGAAGATGTTCATACATGTCTCAAGATTTCACACACATGTGAAATTACTTTTAATACCATCTTACAAATATTAATATGAGCATTAACATTAGGGAGATCTATATAAACATACATATAACTGCTCAAAAATTCTGACAGTTATTTCTCTAATTTACTATATATGCATTGAGTCCACTGCATATATTTCTTATACAAAATTTAGAATATAATATAACACATATATATACACTATATATATATATATATATATATATATATATATATGTTTTCACTCTATGGAAAACATTCCACTTTACAAATAACAATTATTGAGGAGATCAGCATTGTTTTGAATAATGTAATATTGTTTCAGCTTAATATTTATTCCACATAATACAGAAGTAGAAACATAACCAAAAATAAACAGCAACTATTGCAAAATAGAATACTAGGGTTAGACACAGTTTTATCTTGTTTGCCCACAAAAGTTGTCAATGATATTTCACAGGTGTTTAATAAAACATTATAATATATATTCATAACACATTACATATTTCATACACATATTTATGTAAATATATGTGCATGTCCACACACAATTGACATTCAGGAATTGAATTCAACTTGAGTAAATAACTCCAATTTATTTATCGTTTACCAGTTATC